ATGTTTCAAGTTCGTAATAAATGTCTCCCAAATTCAACTCGTCTATACTATTAATTTCGTTACTTGAAGAGAAAGTAAAAGTAAAAATTACGTTCTTCGTTACTTTTTAAATTTATTATTTTAACTTGTCTTGCCGATATTTTTTTATTGTAATATATATGCATTTGTAACGAAAATATCGAAAGAAATCGTTACTTTTTTTCAGAATTTTTTATTAATTTTTTGTTTTTTTATTTCACCCTTTTAACATCGTTTTTAATATCGTTTACTTCTCTAAGGAAAATACTATTTTTTTGTTTGTTTACATCTGATCATAGAGGAAATAGTAACAAAATCAACGCCCGAAATGGTGATATATGTACCATTTCCGACCTATGGTAAAATACATTTATTTCAAATGTCACTCGATCTTATCTTTATTGCTTCGGGAAAAGTGTTGATGGTCTCCTTTCTGAGCTTTTCTTCTTATCTTCATGATCTGGGGGGGGGGTCTACACAAGGTCCTATGTCCAGATTTTAGGTGCAGATTTCTTCTCACTGTCCTCCAGGGATCCCTAAATCGAGACCACTTACGTCGTAAACGGCAATGGTTCGAAGTGAGTGGAATGCAAGCTACAGGGTGTCTCACTCGGAGCTGTACTTGAAATGGTTGATTAGTAACAGTTGCGTCTCTACAGTGCCAACTGCAGCTCAAATTTCTGGTGCAGACGCAGCACGGTGCGCCATAGCCATACGCAGTACACCGTGATCTTCCCTCTTAGACATGCCACTTGGCCGCGCAGAACCCGGTCTTATTTATGCATCATCTTCTCTTTTTCACTGCTACAAAAAACCATGCACATAGAGCCGCGATGGCTCAGAGAATAGAGCGTTTGCTTTTCTATGAGGTGAAACAGGTAGCACCGACAACAGTGCTGACGTGAAATATTCTTAGTGGTAGACGGATCATGGGTTAGAGTCCTTTTGCCATCAGGATAACAGTTGCAGTTTCTCGTAGTATCCCTCTCCATTTAACGCAATTGAGGGTTAGTTTCCTCCAAAGTACACTCAATGCTCAATGGAAGACAAATTTCACTCAATGCTTTATCCAGCATTTCCCTTGTCTTTTGGATTGGTTTCAAATTTACAGGGCTACAGTGTTTGACATTGGTAGCCGTAAACTCTAATTTGAGTCGTCTGTTCAACGACGGTTATGAAATTAAAAAAAATCATTTTGGAAAGTTAAAAGATTATTTACGCTGTTTGATTGATTTTTTACTCATGGACGCATTGCTTTCCACGCAATTTAATTTAGAAGATATTTGATAAAAAAAACTTACCTGACGATCAGTCGTTTTCAATTAACAATTTTCTTTGAGAACTGTCGAATCTGGTCTTCAAAATGTGGATTCTTATTGCACTATTCAAACTTCTTTTTCTAATGCCTACCTGGAGAATGACCTACGTCATACAGGCATTTGAAGGGCAGATTTGTTGAAGGGTATCATATTAGGTGGACCTATTTATTTTTCTTAACTCTTTAACACCATTTTATTTTAATACTTTAAACTGTTTGTCAGCCTGTTACAAAAACAAAAAAGTAATAGGAAATACAGGCCTTAAAATCTGCTTAATTGATGAAGATGTCAGATTCCTTCGTTAACCAACACTCCTAAATTCATAAAAGATATGAATATTAAAATAAGATAAATTTCCAGTAATTAATTTCATAGCTCATCATCGGATTGTGCGTAAAACTAGTTCAGTTTTTAACCCTTTCCCTTCGGCTGTCCACTCTGTAGTGTAAACATTGCTTGTCGGTAAGCTTTTGCTCTGATATTTGAAGATTTCAGAAGTAATATAAATAAAAATGCATTTTGTGATAACTGAAAAAAAAACTTTATAAATTAATTCAGTTTGATAAATTTTGAATTAATACAGTTTTTACATTCAACTTAGTCATTTGCACTGCTAAAGACTCACTCTCTTTATTTCGTTTTTTTTTCTTCTCTTGATCTACAAACCGAAGAAAAACGTCTTCCGACTTGTACTTACAATTGTCCTGGTTACTCAGTACCAGTACCTGTTTTATCGGAACTGACATGACTCAAAGAGATAAAATAATGACATGGCTACTAATATAGTCTTGTATATGGATGGCACAAAGATTAATATAACAATAATAATGGTAAGACAGGTGGACCCCCCTCCCCGCAGAGTCTGGTGGATCGATTCCCGGTTTCACCAGTTTGATACACATGAATAGTAATAAAATGGAAAAAAAAAAGATCAGTATACGATCCTTACACGATTTGAAATACTTCTTGGATACTATATCCCCTGACAATAAAAAGAGTGGTGTGTAATATTTTCATTTAAGAAATCTTGACCGAGGAAAGAAAACGTCTTTCTAGATGCTGGATATGAGTGGTAGATCGGTATTCGTCTGTACTAGTTGATCCTATTGTTCACAAGTCATAAAGGAATTAATGTCCTATGCTGTGTGGAAAACGTCTTTACTCATACTCATATGTGGTGGTAATCTTAGCATCAGCCCCACCAGGGGCTCTAACTAATTCATCTGAGTGGGAATAAATAATAAATCGCCGAAGCGCAAATGAATGGTGAAAGGAAAACGTCTTTCTGTCTTATGAAACATATTAAATGCACTCAAAATATAATTTTGGTTGTATTAATGCGATATAAGTCAATGGAATATTGGCCAATTCCAGAGGTTTGAAAAACTACATTAATTTTTAGCTTCCTATAACTACAACTGCTTTTTTTTAAATATAGTGACCGCAAACTATTATGAAAATGCAATTTTTAGTCACTACATCTACATGTAACTTCACTACCACATTACTAAGTAGTTACATTCTAGTGCACGTAACTACTCAGTTACACGTAACTACAAGTAACTACTTAACTATTTTCTGGAGATGAACTTTAGTGGGGAACTTTATTTAATCCTATGTTCAAAATGTTATTGAATAAGAAATTGGCTTGAATTAAACCTTAGGAATTAGATACCTTAAACCATTAGAAAACCTTAAACCACTCAACTTTCATATTTTAATGCGTTTTTCAACAGTGAATCCTTAATTTCAAAAATGCTAGTAAACTATCAAATATTTGAAATTTCGTCAACTGTTTAATGATCTTTTATTTCCTCTGAGAAACTAAGTACATCTAAAATATATTCCCTTCTTTCGAAAAAAGCATCGTTTACATTCGCATGATCGCAATTTCACATTCGTATGTGAAAGTGTATGATGAATTATCTATTATTCGTTTAAATGTTATTTACAAGTGATTCGAAACACGTAATTCTTGTTAACGCTCTTGTCTTACACCGTCGTCAGTGCTTGGATGCCGCCTAAATAAGACGCTCATGAAGATTGGGTTAAATAGTTTATGCAGACCACATGTAAAGAATCGTGTGGAGGCTTTCTAATATTGGAGGTGATGGCTAACCACCATTTGAAAAATTTTCTCGTTACACCCCTGAAGATAGATAAGATGAGATGCAGATAGATATAGATAAGATAATTATTTCTCAACTGTAAATTAATAAAAGAACAAGCAAGCAACAGGAAATAGTTTTTTTTTTTATCCTTTTATACAATGTAACAACTATGTACACTATTTTTGTAGCTACATACTCGACATTAAATATAAAATAGGCATCCGCTAATCACAATACATTTTAGAAATTATTTAATAAAAAACACAATCGATTCCTTAATTTTGGGCTTATTAGCACAATTGTTTCCATTATTCTAAAATGTCATATAAGATTCATAATACAAAATGCATATTATGTTCGATATTTATATATATATATATATANATTGTTAAATTCGATGTTGAACCAAATTTTTAGATAGAAGTTTTTAGTGGAGACATTAAAATAGAATTAAACAAATGGTTTGACCTGGGAAAGGAAAGTGTTAAAAACTTTTTTCCATCATTTAAATTGGAATTTACAGAGTCAATTATGATCTGGGAAGATTGAATCTAAGTTCTTTTAGTCTAAGTAGATATGTTGGGCATAAAGCGTCGGATGCTTTGTGGTTGGTGTTGAAATTAGCCTCTGGTTGATCTTGATTGTAGTATAGGCAGTTGACACATTGTATTTGATTTGAATGACAATCGGAGGTTGGATGTTCTTCACCACAGTTTTCACAATAAGAGGAGTTGGCGCTACTGAAACATGTATGAATTTAACTTTCATTTGAAGATTCTGAACCTTTTAGCAATCATATACATATATTTCCTCTAAACTGAATTCTTTTCTGATAGATGCAATTGATAAAAAACATCTGTATCTTCCTTAATGGAGCTAAGCAGTTCCGACACAGAAACATTTTTCATTTAGTAGCTATCTGTTAGTAAAATTACTTTCACTTGACTATAATTGGCAGACTATGTGGTGTGCCAAAAACTTTAAGCTACTAGCAATTTACTATCGACTAAAAACACTAATATAAAAAATAGTTGTTCAACCAGTTTTTATTATATATATATACATATATGCCAGACAACCAAAATGCCTCTGTGGTCGATTGTTAATAAGATCTACGTCTGATGCTCGGAAAAATCTGTCTATTGATCCTGTAAAATCGAATTTTAAATATCTGACATTTTTTAAAATTTGGTTTCACAGGAACTATAAAGTATGTTTTTGTGTCTGATTTCGTTACTTAAAATAGCGTCTGCAGGAATTAATTAACAAATTTTAGCATATATAAGTTTGTTAAAAAATTTTTTTTAAACAAATCAGTATTCATTATTCGATTACAGTAATTTTCGGTAAATCCGCCGCATAACCAATTAGAATTGGGTCCAAATAATAGAAGCCTGAAACAAACTACCGCAAAATAGTTTTCTGTGTGAAAAAAATTAATCACAGAAAATTGTTAGGATTTGTATATGGCGAAGACTTTCGAAAATTAGAGAATACTTTTGATATTTGGCTAATTTACTGACTAATAATTTGAAATCCTTAGAGCGGGCCCTGCAAAACGCAATAATTATAAATTAATTGCTGTCAGCATTTCACTGTTATTTAGTGTTAATTTCTTACTTTCACAAAGTCCAGTAACACCTTTCCTGTCAGAAGGACATTCACAAGATGGCAAGCCATCTTTAATGACGCATACGGCTCCATATCGTTGGCATACATCATTGAAATGATCACAGACATCATTGATCTCGCACCTATCTCCGCTGTAGTCTGCCCTGCACTCACAAAATCCAACTCTTCCATAACTGATCTTGCAGATTCCACCATTCAGACACTCTCTGTCGTATTTACATGTCTCTAAATTAAATAAAAATATGTATCCTTAAATAATTTTATTTAGCAATACTTTGTTAGCATTATATGAGATATGAGTGCGATAGAGATTTTAAATCAAAATAGGCTTTTTGTATTCATAATTCGTTTTAAATGTTTGTATGTACATGCGTGCAAGTGACGATTATGGAAACCTATATTTGAAGGTAATATAATACTGCATCGTCGTGATTGACCGTATTATACGGCATCATTTTGAATGACCGTAAGCCCCTCCATGTTTTCGAAAGAGGTACTAAGTTTAGTAAGAATATAAATGCATGTTCTTAAAACCTTAGCAGTTTGTTTTAATTTATTTTATTCTATTTATTTATTTTCAGTTATAGAGTTGATACTGATTGATAGTAACAGAGTGATCATGTGATCACTCTGTTACCGTCAACCATCACATCAAGGATTTTCTTAAATGTTGAGATGATTAGATTGGATTGGCTAGCCTGATCTCCTGACCTAAATATAATAGCGATTGCTTAAAAGTACTTTGGCCGAATAGTGTCTTTTTGTATGGCCGGTAACATGAGTTATATCAAGGGTCGCTTTGCGTCCGGGGTGTTTCTATTTCGTGTTCCTATTTCAGTGCCCGGCGATTTGATTGCCTATATGACAAGTTTATGTTACAAATGTATTGTATTTAAGGCTGGACACTTTTCTTAACAGAACCATTTTTTTAATGTTTAAAGCAATGTTACAAGTTTATGTTACTAATGTATTGTATTTAAGGCTGGACACTTTTCTTAACAGAATCATTTTTTTTTTAAATGTTTAAAGCATTGAGTTCCCGGGTTCGGTCCCCGCCGGTCGAAGACTCCCCGTGTAGTAAATGGTGACTGATGCACGTTAATTATGTCGAGTCTCAAAGTCCTCCATGTTCCCATAACAAATCAATACCTCTGGGGGTACCGATCCTGGAGTTCCCTTGTCTTCTGGATTGGTTTAAAATTACGAGGCTACAGCGTTGAACATTAGTAGTCGTAAACCCAAAAATTGGGTCGACTGTTCAACGGCGGTCATAAAATAAAATAAAATAAAATGTTTAAAGCATAAGACGTAGCGACTCAGGGGATACAGCGTTCGCCCTCCAATGATGTGAACCGGGATTGAATCCCGGCTGGTCGATACGAATTCCTCAAACGGCTCGCCCTAACCACCGTGCTAACGTAAAGTATCCTCAGTGGCAGACGGAGCATGGGTTAGAGTCTTTTTGTCATCAGGCAATACGTGAAAGGTTTTCCTATCTATGTAACACGAGTATGGGTTAGTCCAATAAGAAAAAGTCTTCCATGAAGGAAAATTTCTCCCAATACTTGATTCCTGAATTCCCTTGTCTTCTGAGTTTGGTTCGAAAAAAACAAGGCTACGGAGTTGACCTATTAGTTCTCTTAAAACCAAAATTGGTTCAGCGACAAACGTAATGAAATATAAAATTAAATGCTTCGAACATATTTCATTTCTGAAATTCTTTCGTCAAACAAATAATTTTTCTTTCGAATGTGCTTTTTTGTTTTAAATTCTTGATTGTGTTTAAATATATGTTAATTTTTATATCAAATATAATAAGGAGCTGTTTGGAGAAAATTTCCTCTAAATTTCTCATTCCTGTGAAAATATTACATTTTAACGTTTGAAAATGTCTTTAAAAGTGTCTAAAAATGTCTACTAAGAATTGTGATAATGGTACACCTGACATATTTCATACCTCTGCATGCTTCTTGGTCTTGAGCATAACCCTCTTTGCATAAGCACTTCTTCTCCTTACTTTCATCAAAGAAGCATCCAAGTGATTTTTCACCGCAATAACAATCTAGGAAATGAAATATATACTTCATTTACTTTTCATAGTATATCGGAATATTATATTCTTTGCAAACAGAATGATGCATGCAATTAGGAAAAAAAACCATCATAAGTACTTCGTAATAGATTTCGAGAAAAAGCGGCTCGGCAACGATTCTTTTTATTGCTAACGCTAAAATAGAATTCCAAAATTTGGTTTTTAAAAAAGAAAATTGCAATTAGTAGGTCATCATACAAAATGGCGAATATTTACAAACATATAATTTTTCTTTTTAACTTTTCTCTCTTATTTTAAATTTCGCTACTCAAATATTAAAAGAGAAGTGAAACTATTCTCCAAAATTTCTTTTATCAAATAACGCTGATGACCTCATCATTATACGATGGTTTCGATTCTAATAAACGGCTGATTCCTTTAACTGAATAACTACATGAACATTAAGTGTAAGAGAGTTACTAGTTTTTCTCACCATTACGACAAATATGTTATACGATTGATTTTTAAAATAATGCGCAAATTCAAGAAGATTAATTAACTCAACATACAGAGTAGATAAAAAGTAAACAAGAAACCTGAAAATTCTTCCTTGTATGTGTAAAAGCCTGAAATTTTTTAAAAAAAAAATTGCTATTTATTTCCATTTACTCTGCTTTTCAACTACAACTACATCTTTAGCAAAAATCGTGAAAGTCAACAGCTATTCAAATTCCAAATTTATCTCTCTATAAAAGCAGTGAAAAATAATTTGTCGTTAAAGTGAGTGTAAAAAAAATAACCCAGTATTGATATTCAATACTTGAAAACGTTAGAAAACAAACACAAAATATTGTCTCCGACATTTAAAACCAAAGGCATTTTGATTCTATCTTTCGCTCAAGGCTCTATTTCTATCTTTCGCTTAAAGCTCTATCTTCTAAGGCTTAATGCTTTAAAATTTAATAGAAAACCGGGATTTTTTATTTATTTTGAAAGTAACAGAAAAACAAAAAATGCTAAACCATACATAAGAGCCGCGATGGCTCAGGAGTTAAAGCGTTCGCCAACTTCCAATAAGGTGAATCGGGTTCATATCCTGGCGATGGATGGTGATACGAATTCGTATCCGGCTTTGTCCGACAAGAAATATTCTCAGTGGTAGACAGATCATGGGAGTCCCTTGACCTTCAGGCTAACCGTGTGAGTTTTTCGTGGTCTTCCTCTCCATGGAATACAAATGCGGCTTAGTTCCATCAAAAAGTCCTCCGTGAAGGCACATTTATCCTAATACTAGATCCAGGAGTTCCCTCTGGATTGGGTTCAAAATTACAAGGCTACGGAATTGAACATCAGTAGTCGTAAAACAATTTTCTGTATGTTAATAGTATTTATTTAATTTATTTATTTTTATCTTGCAACCTTCGCAAATACTGAATTTGTGTTCTTCAGAGGCGATTTTCGAATTTTCGATTCATTTATTGTTCAAAATTTCGTTAAATTTTCTAACTATTCATGTTTTGAGTTTCCTCTTGTTTGTGGAGTTTTCCTTACGGCTGCCTAACCGTAACTCTTCCTTTTGAAATTGTATCTGTTTTCATGGGCTTTGGACAAATTCTGGTACTTTTCATCATCACAATATGTTTGTTACCGTCTTAAATTTTTTTTCAATTTTTCTTCAATTTTTTTTTAAAATTGAGGCCTTGCCTATTATGTTTGAACACTCAAACCCCTAAATTCTATTTTCTGAGTAACTACTATTGTTAATTTTAAGATTTCACTAAATTCTTTAAGACCTTCTGGCGTTGCCATGGATCGCCACCAAGCCTACCTTTTTGAATCTTCTTTTTCTTTTGCTGAGAGGTCAAGTACGCGCACTTAGAGCCTACAGTATTCTCCGGATGACCCCTGACTGGGGTGGGACGGGGTTAAGCTTTGATCAGTATATGTCCCTTGTGAAACACGTCTGCCAAGAGCATCCTAGGCATACTCTATAGGATTTAGTTCCGAGGAATGCACTGACCATTTCGTACGGTCAATATTTTTAATTTTTAGTGTGTCCTATACATGAACACAAAAGTGTCACCTCGCATTGTTGTCCATAAACAGAAGGCATAGGCCTACCACACACCCAAAAAGACAAAACAAAATACCCAGAGTAATGTATTTGCAGTACATCCGCTATGTAACGCCACCTCACTCAAAGATGAGAAGTTGAACCCTTGCGCATGATGACTGCCCACACCGGCACGCCAGGGTCATATCGATCACATCCTCTATCATGATTGTTGTGAACAACGTGTACCCCTCTCTCTCCACACAAACTGGTAGCCAGAATCCCATACTAAATCAGGATTCGTCGAAGAACATCACTCTGGACCACTTCCGGTTACTCTAGCCAATACCTTCCTTACACCAAAGTAATCTTTCTCGACGATGGTGTGGTTGAAGTGGGATGTATCGAACAGGTTTGATTGATTTTATGGCAGTGAGATGATTCTAGCAGAAGCTTGTGCAGCTATAGTGGTTGCAAGGTCTGCAGTTATCTATCGAGGAGTGACATTTTCGTTCCTTTTCGCTATTAGGGGTACATATCGCTCTTTTTGGGATGTAGTGTTCCTACAACGACCACTGGTACGTCATTGCATAGCATTTTCACCTCTAGTGGTACTTTTTCGTAACGAGATGACACATTTTAAAACTATCTTTACTGCGGCCACAGTGGTGAAATTTTGACCTGATTCCAGTTGTCTACCTGCTCGTCCACGATTGTAAGAGCTCAAATGATGTCTTGCTAACATTTGACACAACAATGAATTTTACAAATATAAGTTCAAAAACTTACGGCGCTATTTTGCTCAAACACTTAACACCCTGAATTTCCGATTGAAGGAAGAGACTGTGCCTGCCTTTTATATAGATAATGGCTACTGCTTTACTATTACTGCTGCCCTTGATTTTACTGTTATTGGTAAGCTCTCAACAACGCTACTTTCCATAAATAAGTTGTTCCTTAGCAATTGTCACGAAGTCTATTTAATAGTATTATATTTCTCTAGATATATGCACTCAATAGCATTCTATTTTATAATTTTACTAGAGTACAATGCCCGCCTGTTTGCATAATCACGTGCACTGAAAACAACTGATTATTGTCATGATATTTGCATGAATAAAATCATTTATTTATGTTTTAACATCTTAAGACTCGTGATCACCAGATTGTTTCACTGTTAACACATTTCTTTCCGCCTGACTATTACTTGATGATTTATATGGAGAGCAAGTTTTGTTCTTAATTCCATTTCAACTTAAGAATTTTTCATATTTTTCAGAAACTAACTGTGAATTGTTTACACTGGCTAGGGTAATTGAAAGATCAAATCTGGGATATCAGTCTCTTACGCAATCGATATCGGCATGAGAAGTAATAGTTTTAGTAGTATAAGCTTCAAGCCATGTAGAATGAGCCATAAACTGCTAGGAAAAAATAATGTTTGAAAGATGGTAAAAAGAATATGTTTTCAAAGAGACGATTGATAATCCTATTCACATACTTGAACTGGATTTGATTCTCGTTGAATTTTCACATAGTTAACACAATTACGTGTACAGTTTTTAATATCTTTGAAAATATTGTACCAATACATACATGAATGAGCAACAACTTTCATTTTAATCACTCGCAATTCTAAATGCCTTTAAAAAGTTCTAGTAAAAGTGTTTGGAAACTTCTTTAGTGTAAGAAACATTTAAAAATAAAGCATGCGATTCCCTTCCAGCCCTAAGTATTTTTCTGGAAGATTCCTTTTGCCGGACTAAATGACTAATGTTTTCGTGGTCTTCTTCTTGTATTATACTAATGGAAATTATTTCCATAAAAAAGTTCTCCATGATAGGTAGTTTGTCCCAATTCTCCATCCAAGAGTTCTTTAACCAAGATCATGAGTTTTACGCAAATTAACAAGGCTTATATGCCCTTGTTGTTACCTTTTCCCTTTATAGAAAAGAATGCTCTCCTCATTTAAAATATAAAGAATTACAAAAAATATCAAAATTTAGTGATTCATTGTACTTTTTTTGCTTATAGAAAAACATGAAAAAAGCATTTAATTATGCTATCTATAACATTCTCGGTGGGAGAGAAGTCAAACTGCGAAACTACATTCCATGAAATCAAACGATTCTTGACATAAATAAAGTAAGATGTTGAGAGTTACATATTTGAGAACAAATAAAAACTATCCAATATTTGTTCAGCCTTGAAATTTAGGAAATACGTATTCAAACTGAAGTGCAATTTAAGAAACTTACCAATACATGTATCGAACAGCTGTGAATACCCAACATCGCATACACACATCTTCTTTCCTTCATTATCTAAATAGCATGCAATTGAATGTTTGCCACAGTCACAAACACCAGCTGAAATTATAAACAAAAGTGCTCAGCTCAGTATTTCACTTGATGTATAAAATGATGTAAAAATATAAAAATTTTCCCACTTTCTGTCTAATAAAGAGTCTCGCCTTTCCAATTGCCCGAAATACCAACGCCTCCTATAACTGAAAGCCTCCACGCGGTTTTTTATTGGTAGTCCGATCAGACTACTGTGATTTAATACAGAATTTGTGACCACTGTGATTTAATACACAGTCATTTAATACAGAATATAGTTAAAATAAGTAAGTGGTAGCAAATATATGACTAAAAATTTGTTTTATTTATAGATATTATTGGTTTGCCTTATTCACTTGTCAACCACTACAGATTCAATTCTCAAATATATATAATAAATTTCTCTCAACTACTCTTATAAAAGGTTTTGGGATCATGCGCTCAACTGCTTCACTTTTTAAACAGTCTGCGCGGACTACTTATAAGAAACCGTGTGGAGGCTTCTTGATGTAGGAGGTGATGGAAATACTCTCGGTAGCTATGGCTAACATTTCGTATGATGAAAGTAGTAGTCCCTATATTAAATGATTTTTTTTGTTCGCATAGCCACAAATGACTCCATACTCTGTTGTCATATGAGTCTTTTTCCAAGACAGAGAACTTCATGTTTAAGAGTAGGAAAAGAATGTCGGTTATATCCTTTACATGATATCAAAAATCACATACACATTCGCAATTATTGCAACGTTTTTTTTTACATGTAACAAACACTCAAAAAATAATGAAAGCTATAATATATGTAATATACATACAAATTTTCAAAGAGGCTACATTAGGTATTAAATACGTGCTGTAAATATAGCAATTTTCTGTTAAAGGCAGAAACTGATATTTTAAGTGCAATATTTACATATAAATATAGTACCTGATTTTTTCTGCTCTTTTCTCACGTAAGAATTTTTTTTTCAAAAATCAAAAGGTTTTAGAAAAAGTTTTAAGAAAACCAAATGCAAACAAATATTGAATTCAAACATGAAGAGTAAGGAAGCTACTCTTGCGCTGAAAGCCAGTCACAAAAATGTGCTTTCATAAAACCTTCTACCTGTACTAGATGTAGCTTCTGTCCAATCTGTGGTTTCTGAAATGTCGGTGGCAAATTGGAGGTCAGTTCCTGCAAAATTATAAATTTTATCACTTTAGAAGATACGTAACTATCGCAACTGAACCAAAGAAAACAAAACACAAAAAAGAATCATTATGAATAGTTATGTTTATTTGGATCTCGACCCGCCCTACTTAGGGGATTAGAGAGGAGAAGATACATACTTTATACATACATAAATAATACATAATACATGCATAAAACTCCAAAAACAACAAGTATAAAAATCAGAATAGGAGATGGAAACAAAAACAGAATTATAAAAATTCAGTAAAAAAATTTAAACCAGTGATTATATAACATAGTTGTGACACATCCAACAAGATACCAAAAGTAAAGCAGAAGATAATAACAAATCAGCTGAACTGGCCCTAATAAAAATAATAAAGCAAAAAAGAAAAACAACAGTATAGCAGAACTGAAGTAAAGTAATACAAGTTAAAAAAGTGGTATAGTGCAGAAAAACATTACTTATCTCAAGAAAAAGTATAAAATGGTAAATTGATAAAACTAAGTTAAAACAAAGTTAAGACACAATAAAATTTAAAAAAAAAGAAACAAGGAGAAAAGGAAAATCCAAGAGGAAAAGTTCAAAAACACCCAATGAAAAGAACAAACTTAAATAAATAAAAGGTCAAAATGTTAAAACCGACAAAACAATCAAAAATAGGTATAATCACAAAAATAAAAGTCAAAATAGATAAAAGAGAAAAAAACGGAAACACGTAGACGACATGAGTGTCAGGTCCAGATCAGGGCTTACAGGTCTGACATCAAATCCTCCAGAGTGGTTTTTATAATAGTTTTGATAATATTTCTACAGGAAAGTTTGGAAAAGCATTTGTGTTGATTTAGATTAATAAAGTGCGTTTGACGGGGTGTTTGGAAGTGGGGACAAAATGTAATAAGGTGATCAATTGTCTGGATTTCTCCACAGTATCTACAATTTGGATTTTTCCTAAAAATTTTTTTTTTTTGAAAAACATCAAACACACCGTGCCCGGTTAAAAATTGATTGAGGTAAAAACTGGTTTGCAGTCTAGTAGTACTTGGATCTTCAAAAAATTGAAATGTTTGTCGACCCTTTTTTGAACCATGACACTCAAACCTCCAGCTCTTCATAATTATCTCCCTGATGATTGCCTTAGTTTGTTTTTTGGAGCTCAAGACCTCAAAATCAACCTGACGGAGATCGGTGGCCTGGTTTGCAGCTTGATCCGCCTCCTCGTACCTGTAATGTCGACATGTGCTTTCACCCAAAAAACAGTGAATGTTAGGCCGCCACAATCTTTTTATGTGTTCAACGGCGTCATATTTTGGTTTGGGTTCTCATAAGTCTTGCAACGAGGAGAGCGAATCAGTGAATACAGCCGCATCCGGGTAATTATTATTGGCAAGCCTTGTAAATGCGTCGTGAATAGCCATCAACTCTGCCAGGAAGACACTAGCATTATCAGAAATTCTAGTGGAGGCCGTCGACACTGTGGTCAGGGGTGAAAGCGAGACGGAAAAGAGGAAAGGCTGGTAGTAAAACCATTTCAGTTATAGCTAGTTTTGGGGAGGAGTTTACTTATTCTTTTTTTAAATTTTTAAACAATATCTACTTTATCTTGGAAAAGAAGCAGTTTTATATATATGCCAGAATTATAAAAGAAATCTTGATAGTTACAGATATTTCATTTTTCTCGAAAAAAATGCTGGAATGAAATGTTTCACGTACCAGATTTTTCTCTTTTCCGTCTTGCTATATAAGGCCTTTCACCCATGACTGTGGTACCTCAAGCTCGGGGGTAATACCTCGAAGGGAGGCGAGGCAGTCTACCACAAAACCTCTTCTCTCTCTCAAACTTGTTTGTTCAATCTCACTACTTCATTTTAATTTTCTCTCAGTAAAAGATACTGAACCCCAACTTTCACCTTTCAGTTGCGCTTCGGCGATTTATTATTTATTTCCACTCAGATGAATTAGTTGGAGCCCCTAGCAGGGCTGATGCTAAGATAACCAACACATATGAGTATGAGTCCTTTTTTGTCCTCAGGGATGTTTCCGAGACCGTCGCCAATAGCCCATTTTGCAGCTCTAGTGCGACGTAAATGAACAACAACAACAGTCCTTTTTTGACCACAAGCCCGTACCCAGTCCTACTATTTGCATGTTGACACTGAGATGTTTCATCGGTGACCTCTACTTTTGAACCATCAGTAAATATCTCAATGCCCTTATTGTTTGGCAAACGTGTACCCCAGGGCACAATGACTTGCTCAGAAGGATGAATTTTGTCAGGAGGAGTTGGAAGCTGAAGTGAATCTCAAAAATTGGATTCCAGTTTCAATTTAGACGCTTAAAATAGATGTTCTCTTTAATTTTAAGGTGAATGGGGACTACTCCTGCCAGTATCTTGAGTGCATCAGAGCTCGTGGTAGAATAGGATTTGGTAATGCCGAGCAGTGAGGTTCTTTGAATTGATTTCAGCTTGTCATTTCAGATATATCGAATTTATTGAAATATGAATAATTTTATTTTTAATTTCATTAAATCTTTCTGCCTGTGCTAAAAATGATCTGTCCAATCCGTGGAATATTGTTGTTCAGTTAATGCAAAATTATAAATTTTATCACTATAGAAAATAACTATCGCAACTGAGAGAAAGAAAACAAAACACAAACAAGAATCATTATGAATAGATATATCGAATATCTTGAATTATGAACAATTTTATTTTTTGTTACTAAATTTCCTTCTACCTGCGTTAAAAAAAGGATCAGTCCAATCTGTAGTTGTTGAAATATCCGTGGAATATTGTTGCTCAGTTCCTGCAAAATTATAAATTTTATCACGATAGAAGATACGTAGCTATCGCAACTGATACAAAGAAAACAAAACACAAAAAAGAATCATTATGAATAGATATATCAAATTTCTTGAATTATGAATAATTTTATTTTTAATTTCATTAAATCTATCCACCTGAGCTAAGAAAAGGATCTGTCCAGTCTGTAGTTGTTGAACTATCCGTGGAATATTGTTGCTCACTTCCTGCAAAATTATACATTTTATCACTATAGAAGATACTTAACTATCGCAACTGAATCAAAGAAAACAAAATACAAAAAAGAATCATTATGAATTGATACATCAAATTTCTTGAATTATGAACAGTTTTATTTTTAATTTCATTAAGACCTTCCACCTGTGCTAAAAAAAAGATCTGTTCTACCTGTGGTTTCAGAACTATTGGTGGAATATTTCTGTTCTGTACACAATAGACTGCAAGTTCAATTTTCATGAAATTAAAAATATCAACTTTAATAATAATATATAATAGTTATTTTCTTTTCAAATTCTTGCTGATGGAAACAAAATAAACATGCAATGTCGATTATAATTTTTTAACTATATTTAATATTATGCTGAAATGAAAACAATTTTTAAAGTGGTTTTAACCTGTATTTTGCGATGATTTTGACAAATCTTTGTATGAAGTAGAATCAGTTGTATATTGCAGTTCAAAATCTGTAAAGTAATTATTATTCTGATAAATAATTCTAGTACACTGAGTGAAAAAAATGATGGAAACACTTCTATACTAATACAATTTTTGCATATTTCTCAAGAAATACTTCCAAAATCATTTTATATTTTCAGAAGGGTTTAGATCATGCGCTTTCTCATGTGTATCAGTGAAATTTAAAGCGTTTAAAGATTTGAGAGACCGACAATAAATTATAAATGGAAAATAATATTTTTGCCAAAAAATAATTGAAGCAATAATTGTATAACTTGTGACGGTTATTTTTGTTACTATATATGCAATAATTGCCCAAAATGTTTAATCTTAGCATAAATATTTATGAAGATATAGACACTTTTATAAAAAAAATCAAATTTTTTATCTTACGTTATTTTTTTGTGTATAACTATGAAAATATTCCATGATATTAAACAAAATTATTGAACTAATTTTAAATTAAGTACAAAATTATTGCTATATTTGAGAAAACTTCCTTTAAAACAGCGTAAGATATGAGTAATAAAAGTAGCTGTTTTATTCTGCGTATACTCAGGAAAAATTAAAAGAAATAATTTCCATATTTTGTAATGAATCGTATTTGGGAACTACTAAAAAAAATCCGATTTGAAAATTGAAAAAATTTAAAAGGTTTCAAGCAATTTTCCAAGTAAATAGTTTTTAAAAAAACTCATAATTATACGGGGTTTTCCACAGACATTAATTTGTATCATAAGACAAAATTCTATAACTCATGATAATACCTTACAATACACTTTCATACACAGAAATGTGATTAAATAATAAAAAATAAAAAAACGGCGAAAGAAAAGATACTACTTTTTATGGGTCATGATCCCCAACAATACCGGTGTCGGTTTTTTATAAATCTTATTCAATTGTCCAAAATGAAATTTGTGGAAAATTCCCAATCATTTCCTTTAGAAAGCAAGAAAAGTACTTAGAAATATGCTTGAAACTTTTTAAAATTTTAAGATATTCAAATTGAACTTTTTTCATTAGTTGCAAAATACGATTCACTAGAAAATTATGAAAAAAAATTTTTTTTTTCCCGCGCATTCTTTTTATGAAATAATTACTTTAAATATTAATGTCTGGGTAATTTGTTATCGAATTTTTTTCAAAATTTAAATCAGTGATTTTTTAATTAATTTTAAATTGTTCCAAAACTTTTGTTTAGTTTTACTGAATATTTTAAGAAATGTAACTAAAAAACATAAGACAAAAAAATTAATTGCTTTTAAAAAGGTCCATTACTCCAAAAAATATTTAAGCTAAGTTTACAATATTTTGTGCAATTATTTTATATAATAATCAAAACAACTGTTCCAAGTTACAAACTTATTGCTTTAAGGTTCGGCTTATAGTGCTCAAAAAACATTATTTTTCATTTGTAATATATTGTGGGTACATCAAGCCTCAAAGAGCTTTAAACCTCAATGGTATGTATGTGAAATCGATAACCTTAACATTTTTAAATTTATAAAATGATTCTGTAAGTAGTTTTTGAGAAAGAACAAAAAAAAAGTGATAATATAGAAGTGTTTATAGACTTGTACATTCGTAGAAAAAAGAAACTGAACTAAAAATATCTTCTAAAAATGCTTCAAAAACAATTATGCTGTAGCTTTCGGAAAGAAATTTGTTTTAGCTTTTAAATTCTCGCCAATCATGTAAAGCAAAGTACTTGAATGAAAATCTGTTCCTCAGTGTAATTTATTATTGTATTTTTCCCTTTTAAAGATATTTTTAACTTCACGTGTTTTCCTATTAGTCCAGTCAAATTATTATAAATGATTAAAAAATTTAGGGTTGTTAGAACAACATGAAAACAGTGCAAAGCTTGTAGCTGTTATATTTCTTGAGATCAAGCTCCATAAATTTTAAGGTTTCTACGAAAAATATGAGAGTCTCCTTGTCTTAGTAAGCTATTACTGGATATCAAGACAAAAATTAATTCTACGATAAAGTTTATTACAATAATAATAGTAGTAGTGATAAATAGCTGAATATATACTCTGAATATAGACTCTGAAATGCAATGAATACATTTATATCATACAAGTCATATTAATATATACAGTGCAGTGTTATTTTTTGTATTTTAGTATCCTCTCTTGAAAGTTCATGAGACATATTGTAGAAGTGATCTATTACACAAGCTTGCGAATTTGAAGTTTTTGAAAAATATAAGAGAAGTTATTGTTGATTTATATGTTATTTGATGCGCTGATTACGAAAACGACGAAAATTACTAGTCACGGATTATATATACAGTATTTAGGTGAATTGCCGAATATTCAGTCACCCATTAATGATTCAATTTCAACCTTGATTTAGTTGATGTATTCATACAGTTCTCATTAAAAAACACTATTGATATATTGCAAAAAAGTTCCATTAGTTTTCAGTTTTCTTAAACTTAACAGAAATACCCAGCTTCTAAATATTAAAATTTCATGAGAAGCTTAGAATTATTTTTTACGGCACATTCTCACCAACTTATTAGTTGGGGAGTTGTTATCTATTATAATCAGAGTTGGAATTTTGTCCGAAAGATACCTACTTATCCCGGAAAACCGGAAGAAAATAGAAAAAATAATAAGTAAAAAAATAATAAGTAAAAAAATAATAAGTAAAAAAAAAAAAAAAAAAAAAAAAAAAAAAAAAANAAAAATTAAAAAAAAAAAAAAAAGAAAAAGAAAAACGGGGAAAATAAGTCACGAGCTTTAGAAAGCTCATTTTTTTCTCTCTCATATGATATAGAAAGTAATTGATAAAAAAAAAATTATAATCTATGAATATTTTAGTTATTTATTATGTGAGTTACGATTTACTCCTTAAAATGTAAAAAAATACATCATTACAGATCCGAATTAAAATCTTTATACTAATGATATATATCGCGGTCATCGCACAATATGTAATTTTACGTTTTTCATTTTAAATGATAAAAGTTAATCCTGATATAATTCAGCTAGCAGTTTGAAGTTCTTTCAATAATTCAACTTTAGTTGAATGCGAGAGCAACTGTGGTAAGTTTAACTTTCGTCTTCAGAAGTATATTTCATTCAAGACAAAAAATAAAATTGAAATTACCAAATTCGGGGTCATATCCGTGTGTGTCGAGTTTACGCAATGAATTATTTGAAGGCAACATGATTACCTAGTGATATTTAACGGGAATATATTCTAACTAATGCTAAATATTGGCAACATCCCAATTTTTTCGTTTTTTGCACCAAATGGTAATTTGTCTTTGTTTGAAACCCTAATCGTCAGAATTTTATAAAATTTGATATTTTTGAACGTTAAACCGAAAAAAGTCTATGTGTTTACAATAAGCATATTAGCAGAATAAGCAGATGTAGAATAAGCATATTTCGCCATGGTTACAGTTAACTGTTTTTATGTTATTAGAGATATTTCTTTAAAGTGTCGCCACAACACTTTTTGAATTAAAAATCTGTCTAAGCGTTCAAAAGTTATAAGCATTATCCGTTTTTAATTTTTCTTACTCAACTTACTACTTCTGGAAAGATAAAACTTCGTATTACTGGACTATTTCAAAAAATTCTTTTTCATACTTTCTAAGAGGTAAACGAGATCAAATAATAGCACTTCATATGTCAGAAGGTACAAAGTAACAGTATTAAATTAAAACTATTCTTACAAAATGCAGAAAATTAATTAATGATTTAATAGAGATTTATTAATTAATGAATGGCAAAAGAAATAACCTGGTATAAATTTTATAAAAATAAGCTTTAAAACGATCTCATCACAAGCTTAGCTGATTTTTTAAAGTAGGAGAATGAATTCCAATATTCTGAGTAATTTGATGAATGATTGGTTGATAGAAGAATATATTAAACCAAATGACTGAGAAACAATTATAAAAATGTAAATAGAATCATTTTTTCCCCTTTTTTTTCTACTCTTTTTTTAAAATTTTTTTATTTATGTTACAGTTTACAGTATCGTTTTAGTTTCTCAAACTATGTAGGGAACTCAATGTACCGATTATAAAGGCTGAATAACGATTATAAAGTATCGGTTGAGTTAGGCATTTCTATATCGAATCAACATAGGCTGAATAACAGCTATAAAATATCTGGTGATCTTAATAAATCTGTACAGGAGCTGATATTGACTAAGTAAGGGCAATAAGGCAATAATATATATATATATATATATATATATATTATATATATATCTAAATTACCCATGTATTCTCAAATTTCTCTATGTTTNCCGCCCGGCATTGCAATATATATATACTGAGAAATACCACTAACATTTAAAATAATAAAATTCTAATAAACATTCTCTGAGTGTCGCGATTCACTATCAAAATCTACAATGGAGGCTAAGGAAAATACCCTGCAATATAATTAGGGAAAGGTAGGTATGTTAATGAATTTCCAGAAAATGCTGATTGAAACTCACTTAATTTGTGGGTGAGTTTTGACTGCAACTGACAAAAATGGATTCATGCATTAATATAAATTTTGGTGTTCGGATTACTATGCTTACAAGTCTCGTCCTATTAGTTCTGCCGGAAAATTCTACCCGCGAAGGAACGCGCCCCTTTATTCACGATTCACGATGATTGCAAAATTTCTGTGTATGCCGCTCAAGGCGACACTTACGAATTCATCCGAGACATAGATCAAAAAATAAGTGGAGAAATTAATTGAGTAGTCGAGAGGAAAATAGGAAGATTACAAAGATCAATAAGACTACAATCACAAAGATCAATAAGACTACACCTGACGTCTTATTGAGAATAGGCAACCATTAAAATACGTTAGTGTATAGTACCTACATTGAGCAAAAAAAGTGAAGATTACTCCGAATAAATGATAATAATAAATATTAATGACGAAAGCTATTTACAATATAAAATAAAAACTATATACAAAAGTAAGGCTGATAAAAAGCGAGAGAAAAAAATCGAAAAAAATATATATATACAAAATAATAATTAATTGTTGATCTATCTATATATACACGTAATGAGCAGTGCATAATAAGAGACTGAAATGTAAATAACGGTGAAGTAAGGGACCTAACACAGGGACCCTTGTCCCTCACGGCTCTCCGTAGCTTCAAAGAAGGGTTGCTCCCTCGCCTAAGTTAAACAAAAGAAAAATAACGTGATATTATCAGGCGCCCCTTTACGCCATACTCTCTCCTTTACATAAGGATGAAAAGATAACCATATTTTCGCTTAAATGGTAAGACATTTATTCCTAAATATACACATCAGATGTACCACTTACTTCTACCGGATACTTTCGTTACAAGTTTGAACATGTATGATGCGCATGCTCATTTGCGCCCTGTGTCTCTTTAAGCTAGAATATCAACATCGAGTTAATGGGATACTTTCCGGTAGACCTAATATAAAATTGTAAACCATCGCTAAAATAGATGTTCAGCAAAATCTAACTTAAATCGGTTGATATGTTAGAGAAGAATTGAAATCACGTCTAAGTTGATCAGATGTTTAAAGTTTTAACGTCTTTTGAAACGATTATGGCCGAACACATTTCTGTGTGACATTTGCTCGGCCCGCGCTAAGCATTCACCACCTCGCCAAATGCTATAATATCGTAAACTTGGCGAATAAAATTGTGATTTGGCGAATGATTTTCTCCGTTGGAAAGAAAATATATATTAAAAATCGCTGAGATTTGCCTGTGGCGAAGACTTTCGATATAATCCGAGGAAAATAGGTACTTTCAAAACAGTACATTTGTTTTAAAGAGTTAAAAGCATAACGTCTTGCGAATGAAAGTAAATAAGCCATACAATTTGGTTCTGTTTTATTTTACAGACATCTATTATTTAAATGGTCCATATGGTTTAAAATTATTAGCAATTAAAAAAACGAAATTTTTTAAATGCTAATAACATGAAACTGGCCAGTTAAATAAGTCCTTACACAGAGAAGAAAGCAAAGTTTTCTCACCAGTACTTTGATTCTTGAGCAGAGGGGTTCCATTTCTTTCATTCACAACTGTAGAGACATCTTCTAAAATAATATCCTTACCCTTCACAACCGCGAAGAAATAGACAAAAAGAAATATGGAAATAATTATCGTCTTCATATTTATCTCCTTTGGATAATACGAAAAACAAGAAAAACACGAGCCGAAAAATTTACTCTTGAATTGAGTTAAAATAGAATGTTTAGCAGTGAATAATGCGTCGTGTTTAATTTCATTTTACCTTCTGAAAACAGATTTAACGATAACAATGTTTGAACTCAATAAACACACATATTTTGTTATCAGGTATTAAAAAACTGATTGCCGATAATTGTAGTGATAAAAATACTGCTTTTCAAGAAAAGTTTCCTTTTAACTTATCAGTCAATGCATAATTTTTAACTTTTGAAGACACGTTGGTGCCATCTAGTAGCATATTTTATACACACAAATAAACATTGATATAGATTTAAATTTTGTATCAATATTATAATTCTTTTAAGACTAATTATTTCAGAAGAAAATCTTTAAATATTATATTTATTTAAGTTGGTGAAAACTGAGTACTTATTCGTGGTAGACTCCTCTGAAAAGGACTTCAGTTGCTGAAATGCAACGTAAGCTAAAAAAGTAAAAAAAAAAAAAAAGTGATAGAAATTCATTTCATTAATCCCTTGCGGCAGAATTTCTATTAAACAAATTTTTAATAAAATGTTGATTTTTTTGTATTAATTTAGGCCAAAACAAGTGAAAAATATTATATTTAGCATTTTCATATTTTATGGTTATAAAATACTACATGAAGCACCGGAGACTTTTTCTTCGTTAGAGGTAAAACCTTCTAAATATAACTCACATCCAAGCAACACTTTTTAGATTTTTTTTCTTATTTGCAGATATATATATCTAAGCTACACAATTATTTTTTATTGAAATTCTTTAATTTATAAAAAATTATTGATACATTGTTGAATATGAATGAGAAAAAAAAACTACTTTTTCAGATTTTACATTTGATTATTAATTTAAATGTTCATTCAGAGTTATAAAATTGTATGCTAAAGACTTTGAAACGTGAACATTTAAAACAGATTAAGACTTTTAAAGTTGCAAAGACTATTAAGGTTATGTGCTTAAAATAAGCACCCGAATGTTATTTTTCAGATAAATTTAAAATCTTTTTTCTTTGATATATTACAGCTTTTTGTTTACAAAATTTTTTATATTCTTCAATATATGAACTTGAAGAAATTCCCAATTTCTATCGTGTAGTTTGTTTTCAAAAAAAATTATAATAATAATAAGTAAATAATAACTTTATTTTTAAAATTCATTTCATCGAAAAAAATATATTAATATTCACGAAATTTATTAATTATCAAAGTAGCATCTTACATAAATATTTTAGTAATTGGTTGTGGTCACTCTCATCGATAGCTCAAGGTTT